GTGGCTCAGCTCCACTTGACTGGTGTTTGGCTGCTGCCACTTATTTTGTTTTATTTATTTTTTTTTTAGGGGGGGAAGGTTTCTGAATTTTTTTTTCAAATCAAATTGGTAGGACAGTTTCAATAATTAACACATTGCATACTGTCTTGCTAGTGGTTAATTGCTGTACAAGATGCAGACATGATATCCTATTTACAAACACTATTAGAACAAATCCCTCTATTCATTAACAGAATGTAACGATATATCTATCCTAACCATTTTGAATGGTCAGGATACAAAATGGACATTTTGTATGAATGGTTATGATACAAAATGGACACAGATACAAAATGGACATTCATCTATATCCCCTTTTTTGTTTAGTTCCGTTATTTGAATATTATAGGTGTGTGAACTCAGCAAAATATTCCAAAAGAGTCCTGTATTCCATAATAGTATTGGGTCTTCCATTTCACTGGCAATGTCAGAAATTGTTGATCTGAATCCCCTACAGCTCAACATAACAGCATGGCTTTACTTCTTATACTCCGTTTTTATACTTTTCTGCTGGATGGTTAAGAAAAAGATAAAGCAAGACCTATGTAACAAGAATTGTAGCTTTTGGGTCTGATAAGGTCAGTGAAATCCCCTCAGGATTTATCCTGAGATCCTGTACCTCAGATTGCAGATCCTTTGTCCGTGTCAACCATGTGGATGAGTCACGGCTATTGCTTGGCCAATGTGCTCTCTGTGAAAGCCTGAGAGAATGTTTTCTCTCCATGTGACTCTCCTTAGGCACACTCTACATCATTGATCACTTTCCTCTTTGGCCCCATAATCTCCTTGATCAGAAAATTTGGGACACTACTGAGTTACATGTCATTACAGTACAAGTTCTCATATGTCCTGAGTCTTAATTGACCTTAGCAGGCTAGGCCCAAAATCTTGGCTTTCCTTATGGCCCTCCTTTTTCTCTAATTTTGGTCTGCAAACTTAGGTTGTTAACCATCCAGAAGACAAGCTTCTTGTTATTACCATACAACCTAGGCTGTTAAGCTTAATCTCACTATCTGTCTGCATATCAAACATCTTAGGCATAACATGGTGCTGACACTTATTGTTACATATTCACTGAGAATCAGGCCAGCAGGTGGCAGTTGACCATCTCTGTCGCCCTCTGGAATCTTGGTGTTCAACTGCTCAGCTTCTGCAGCCCTGTGAAAGAGGAGGTTTTACCTGGTCCTGGGCTCCTGCCCCCGAGGCCCTCTTACCTGGTCCTTCACTCCCCACAGTGAGGTCACACGCTCCCTCCTGTCCTGGCTCCTCCTGCATGGTCAGGCAGAAAAGCATTTTGTTACTGTACACACCCAATAATAAAACAAAATGAATCACACAACTGAAAGTCCTCACTTCTATTTTTTCTTCTTTCATATCCTCTCTTCTTTCATTTTCTGTTCTTTTCATTTCCTTCTTCTTTGCTTTTCTATCAGTCCTGAACCCAGGGCTTGCACATCCAGGCAAGGAGACCCCCCCATTTCTTTCTTTGCCCTCCTTTCCACCTTTAGCCCTATGTAGGCAGTGCCATATCTACCCTGGACCCTGACATATGGCCCTTGTCCTGTCATCCCTTAAACTGTCTTTGTGAAGGTCTCCTTATCCAGTGGACCCAAGCACGGGGCTCAGCAGCTCTCGAGTGTGACAGCTGTACCCCCACCCCCTCCACAGCGAAGACCCCCATCACCAAGTCCCACCCCCACATCCCGCCTTCCTTCTTCCCAGAGGTGTACCTTCCAGCTGGGTGTCCTTCTGCCCATGTGATCTGGTGCCTGTGGCGGGGGTCATTATTAGCTCAATCTGCAGGCATGGCGAGGGCCACCTCTCAGGGGCCCTGTGCTCTGCCCTGGTGGGCTTCCTGTGGTGGTACTCCACATGCTCAGGCACGCTTCTGCTCTCTCTTGTCTTCTGCAGCATGTGGCCCCACTCAGCCCCTCCTTGGCTGGCTGGGACAATGCCATGCTATCCTTCACAGACAAGGCCAAGGCTCTCTAGACCTCCGCAGGGTCCTTTCTATGGACTGTCTTGACTGCTCGCCTGGAGTTGCACTTGCGGTTCCACTGCACTCACAGCACTGAAGACTAACCCAGGGCCTTGGCGCACTAGGTGAGCGCCCTGCCGCGTGGATGCCCACTGTGTGCCTGCAGGCTCCCCACATTATTTTTGCGTGAGTGCTCATAGACCCACGCAAGTGGCTTTTTGGTCAGGGATCATTTCCAAATTACCAATGTAGGAAGCAGAGCAATGTGCTCCCTTGGTTCCTACAATTGCCACCCCCTGGAGGCCTGCCACTCACTCCTGCTGCTGTCTCTCTGCAAATGTCTGTCCTGCCTCGGCAATGTCACAGCAGCGCCCTGCCTGCATGGGTAGGCCTGGTCACAGGCCCAGACGGAGGACGACTGGACCCCAAGTGTAAAATGAGAGGAAGGCCACGTGCTTCAGCCCCGAGGCTGTGAGTGCCTATTTCTTGAGGAAGCTGGCACAGAGCCTTCCTTCCGATGTCGTGGACACTGTTGGTCTGCTGTCCTACACCTCTCCGGGAGATTGGCAGACCCTCCCCATATTCCCCCACTGAACAAAGGACGCCAGGCACATCCTTTTCATTGAGATCCCAAAGACGGCTTACAGTTACCATGGTAACGAGGGCAGGCTGAGCCATACAGCGCAGAGCCCCTGCTGTCTCTGGATGGAGTCTGAAGCCGCATTCACTTCCCCCACGAAGGATGGGGTGCCCTTGTCCACCTCCGCAGCCAATGCTTTCCTCCCTGCCTGCCCACCTTCTACACAGGCCGCATGATCGCGGAAATGCTGCGGGTTCCAGGCAACTTTGCCTGCGTCATTTTTACCCTCTGCTTCCTTCTTTTGTGTTCAATCACTTTTCCTTTTGTACTTGGACAAAGATATATATATATATATATATATATATATATATATATATATATAATGCACTTTCTAGGCAGCCCACTCTTGAAGTCCTAAAATTCTGGTGTTGGGAATCAAAGAGACAAGACGTTTTGGAATTTAAAAAAAAAAGTTTTAATTGCTTTCAGTGTGTTGTAGGTAGTGCAATTAGGTGGAGAAGGTTCCCAGCATGACGGGCTTGGGACGTAGCTGCACCAAAGCCCTTCCCAAACGATGTCTGAATACTTCAGGTGCATGGAAAATGAGGAAAAGGAAGCCCAGAGGCGGGGGGATTTCCTCCACACGGGTTCCTCTCATCACTGATGTGTACCTTAGGACCCTGAACTCTGACCCTCAGCTCCCCCACATGTGCCAAACGCCCCCTGCGTTTAGAGGAGGAATCCTATCTCCAGAACACCCAGTGCATTCCCACCCTAAGTTCTCAGTTGGGTTTAAGTGGCATTTCTTTTCCTGGTAGTTTTAAAATTTAATCACACTTACTATCACTAAGTGAACTTTCAATGTGGCTCTGCCAGCCAAAGGCCTTGACAGCACCAGTCGGTCTCATGTATGTGTTAAGTGGCTGTAGGTCTGCTGCAAGTTGGCTTTGGTTTTGATGCTAAAGGAAAAATTATAAGATTGCAGACAATAGAGCAGATTGCCCTATCCAGGAGTCAAAAAGAAACCTGCCTTTTCTTGCTGAATTTCTATTTTCTTAATAGCAATATACAATCTCAGGATGCAGGTGAGATAGCTAGGGAATCATCCAGTTTGATGTGGAACTGAAGCAAACTCTGAGACCACTGCATGTAAGAAAGTTTGGGCCAGGCATGGTGGCACATACCTGTAATCCCAGCACTTGGGAGGCTGAGGCAGGAGGATCATCGAGGGTTTGAGACCAGCCTGGGCTACAAAGGGAGCCCAAGGCCAGCCTGAAGCGAATAGTGCTGTCTTTTTGTCTCAAAAGGAAAAAAAAAAAAAAAAAGAAAAAAGAAAAGACCAAAAACAAGAAAGAATCTTTGGGCTGGGTAAATGGATGTGACTTCTTCCGAGAAGAGAGGGTAATTGCTGTGTGACAGAGGAGAAAGTCTGAGGTTGAGAGGCATGAAAGGTGTGAGAGACGCAGGAGGTGACAAAAATGGAAATAATACAACAAAAATAGGCCTTGGACACCTGCCGTCACTGACACTGCTGCCTCAGACAGATGCAAGCCTCAGACAGTGGAGGGTGGGACAGAGCTTGTTTTTCCAACAGTCC